CTCGCCCCTGCGTGGAAACTGCACAATGAAAATTCAGTGCCCCTGGATACGGGGGTTGACACACACACACAGGGACATACACAGCCACAAAGGCAGAGGTAAGCAGAGAAAGCCCACGACTGACCAACCCAAAGACACACAGACACGCGCCCAGATAAAGAAGTCTCTGCGTACGTCTCAAAGCCGCTTCGCAAGTATTCCCAAGCCAATCACATACTCATACAGATTTATCCTGACTCCTAGCATCTCCCAGCTAAACTACAGCAGCTCCAAGCTCACAGGTCCGCTGCAGGCACTAGCTTTTGCATGCCACACTCCCAAGTACACTATGACGACAAGTGTCCAAAAAGGCAGAGGAACGGCACGTGACACACTGCTTCAGCTATACTTAAACCCAAATAGAACCCATGTGACCTCTGTTTGAGAGCCTTGGGTGACTGGTGGTCCAAAATTGTATATGTTCAGCGAGCTCACTTGCCCGTGATGGCCCGGCGTGGGTTATGGCGAGCTGCTCTCCCCCGCCACAAGAGATTCACGAGACTGCGTATACAAAACCCTGTCTTTTTTTAGGTCGATTTCATGGGTCTTGTGCACTTCCGCCTGATGTTGGCTCTCTGCTGGTTGTTGGTGTTTTCGTTGCCACTTGTCACAGCTGTCAAGGCTTCCAATTCTGCCTTGTGTTGTCATTGTGGCTCGTCAGTGATCTTGATTTGATTCTGACTGATCGTTGCGGTTGTCATGGTGAGTTTGTTGACTCTGGGTCAATACCGTCGGCCATACATGCTCTTGTCATGGTGGCTGGTCACCGGTCATTGTCATTGACGTATAGATTTATAGAAAAATGTTTGTTGTTGCTGCCCGTTCTGTGGCTAGTATTTGCTGTTGTCATGGGACAATTGCTTGGCTGGGACACTGGCGGAGGTCTGCCAGTGGGATAGGAGATACTGGCCAAGCGCCTCCCAAATGAAACATGAAACACATGGACGTATCCTAAACTCACAGACAAGTGCTGCAAAATGTTGGAACAAAGTCAGCCAGATACAAGACAAATGCTACACATCACAGCGAGCCTGACGGTGGCCATGCAAAAGCCACATTGACATGCCAAAGCAAAACAAGCACATGCACGGAGGACGACTAGCCAGCAGACGCAACAGCAAGACACCAGCGCAAGGGCAGGTGATTCGTGGACCCGGGAAAGTTCAAGAAAGAGGCTCAAATTTGCATAAGAACTGCCCAGCTGTTTCTGAAAAAAAGATGAACTTTGTTGTTTGTTTGGCACAAACCCTGCAAGTCAGGAATGTCAGAACCTTGATGCTGAGCTCCCCAGCGAACTGGGCTTGATTCACATCATCTTTAGCTGTGTCTTTCTGGTCGAAGCTTGAGAGGCACTAGGTAAACTTCACTGTGTCTTTGTTTGCGGCTGTTCAATCGGGTATTTCTGGCCTCTTGGTTCTTTTTTTTGGACGTATTTTGATAGCCAAGGAGATCATTCTGCGAATCATTGCCTTTGGCATGTACGAATTCTGCAAAGGGGAGTCATATGCGTGGAATTTGGTCGATCTTTTCCTGGTCACTTTGCTGGACCACACGGAGAGGGGTCAAACCAGCCCTCCCCTGTATTTGCAAGAGAATTGCGTAATTGGGTACAAGCAAGCATAAATCAAAACAAGGGCTTCGCTGATGGTTCCAGGGATTGTGTTCAGCTTGTCTCGTTCAGATATGTCCAGGCGATGAGTGCAGCTTTGAGCTGGTTCAGTTCATCAAGCAAATCTCAGGGTGAACATGTCTAGAATCGTGAAGGGCTGGCACAGCTTTGATGGCCCTCCTGGACTAAGCTTTAAGCTACGGCATGTGTTGCACTTGCAAACCGAAACCAAGCTGTTGTACTTAGCTCGTGTGATGGGCCTCAGGTTTTTGGTTGCTTCACATGTTCCTTTTTTCCGACGATCCTTTTTGCCGGGGACTGGGACGTGTTAGGTGTTTATCGCTATGGTGGAGATCTTGGCTGATGCTTTCATCGAGGAACCGATTCAGCTAATTACATGCTCGTGTCTCAAAGCCTGCATCATTTTGGTTCGCTTTTTTCTGCAGTCTGAGGATGTGTTAGGTCGTGCACGGTCCGGGTACTATAGCAGAGGCTCGCTAGCTAAAGGAGAAGGCATATCATTTTCGGCAAGCTATGGACCATCAGAACGTATCTCCATCCACACGAATTGTCCTGTTTCCACATGTCATCTCCAGGACAATTTTGCCAGCGGAAGCTTTCGTGTGTTGCGGATCCTGCGGCTGGCTCGCTCAGCGCGGGGGCTTCGGATTGTCCGGCTGCTTCGCTTTATCCGGCCGCTACGGCTACTAGTTTTCTCTATCGCGATCACACTGAAGTCCTTAGCCTCTTGGATTGGAGACTTATGTTAATGCTCTTTCACGTTCTTTCAGATTTCCAAACGGTGGACTTTGGGTGTCTATTCCTCCCAACAGTCACTTTTGATGCTTCAAGTGTTACTGGGAATGTGTGGAGGTTCTGCGCTTTGTTGCAAAAAGCGAATTGTGATTTCAATCAGTCTGAGAAACCTCGCCTGGTGGTTCTCGTTTCAACGGTTGACCGGTGTTTTCCATCTTTTGGGTCAGTGTTTCCAGGCGTGAAACCCGGGTGTGCTTATTTGGGCCGTTTTGGTGCAATGGAAATTCCAGGTCATGTCTGACTCGTGCTTTTAGACATGTCAGTTTTCTTTGTTTTTTCCGTCTCAGGTCTGGTCCATTATTCTCTTGTTCATCATCATCTACTTATTTAGCATTCTGTTCGCCGACGCCAACTTGGCCTACTTCAAAGTTGGGAACATACCTCCACTGCTTGTGAACGAAGATGACCTGCAATTTCATTTTGGGTCTGTGTCGGCAGCAATGTATCTTGGCAGAGCTTGAATGTCTGCATGTCCATTCACGCCTGTGATGCGCTGATTTAATCAATAACTCAAGAGAGTTTCAAAAGAGTTGGACAACAAACCACTTCTGCAGCTTCGAAGGAATACAATGTTTCGAGCCATTGCCGGTGGTTTGGAGTGGCGACATGCATCCAGCGCACTGGCATCGTCGATCGGTCAAGGCTGTACAGTCTGTTTTGCATAACAAAGTCGGGGCTTTTGGCCGAATGAGAATGCAACAGGAAGGGAGGAACTTATGGGATTATAACTTATAACTTGCTTGAGATCTCGGACAGGACGTTTGAACACTTGACTGGAAGATGATGTGCAATGTGGTGATGTCATGTGAGCTTGCGCGCTTCAGTTACTTGCGCTTTGTCCAAGTAGTCTACGGCATCCACTACTTGTCTGTCCAGCATCATGTCCTTGTTGAACGAGATAGGAGCCCCTAAATAAACCAACAAGACACTTAGGATCTGCTACTGAAGTGGTCTGGAAGAGATTGTTGCACACATGACAACACATGACAACACATGATGTCCTACTGAAAGAGTCTAAATGGATGGTGGTGTATTTGTATATTTACTGTATATTACTGTATTATATATAATAGTAACAATTAATAGATGAGCAGCAAATTAATTTCGCTGCTCATGTGTGATGGAGGATGAGATGGTGACGTGAGGTAATTTGAGATGAGGTGAAGCCTGGTCTTGTGATGATGTTAATGTAGAGGTTTCAGATGTGATCATGTGGTGTGTGGTGACTTCTCATTCAATGAAGTGTCAGGTAGTTGTTGATGGAATGTGTGGTCATATGCGAGGCGTTGAAGCATATACAATGAGGTGATGTGACGTTTGGGGCGAGTGATGTGTGATGTAATGACATGCATTGTACCAGCAGCAATCAGATGCTCGGTGGTTCTTTGTGAAGCTTTTGCACGCACATACGAGCAAGACGCTAAACTCTTCCTGTTCGTTTTTGGCTCTGCATGATTGTTTGGCACATGTAGCAGACATGCAAGTTTATACAATGGGAAGGATGACCCTGCAAGACTAGCGCAATCGACTGGAAAACGATATGGTGAAGATTGGTGAAACTCTTTTTCTTGAGGTTTGCACTTGTATTCGTTGGTTCTTGGTTCTCCGAACAGCACCCCACCAACCCTCTACAACCACTGTTAAAATTGCATTTGTCATTTGTCACTTGTCACTTGTCACCTGAATTTTTCCTTCGTACCAACAGTCCTGGAACGATAACGGACTCGATAGCGAAGCCATAGCCAGTTTTCAACAAAACCTACCTGCGAATGCCAGAGGCCATTAATTAGCAGTTGTTTCAAGATGAGTTAGATGGAGGAAGTGACGCGTTTGGGTCCACATGCCTTGTTTCCAAAGCGCCGTTTCTTTCAACAGCAGCGCCCCTTGCGAGCAGCTAAATTGAATCTGATGACGCATGGTTTGTCCTTCCAAGTGTCACGGGCAGTCAGGGATTATGATTGTGTCTTGAGGGCTGCGACCTTTCTCTCTTGGTCTTTTGTGTTTCCTGACCCATACTCCCTGCTTTTCTGGTACTCTCTATTCTGCAGTTCTTCTCCAGAAGCTTTGCCATTCTTTGCTTTTCTTTGGGAATTGTATCATTTTGTATTTGGAGCCATCAGCATTGAACACCTCAATTTTTTGTTCCCCAATGCAACTGTGCTACCAGCTGAATCAACAACTTCAAAAAACCTACAAAAGCAACGCCATTGTGTCTGTGGCCAAGAGTCCTGAACCCGTCCCCACCCAGCAAGACATCTTTTGCGCATCTGGACATGCACATTCCCTTTGAACGTGCAGCTTTTGTCAGGCCCTCTCACTTTCAATCAAACATGAGCTCCCCAGAAACCTGACAAGTATGCATGCATGCACATGCAATTCAGGTGCACCTAGTCACACGCATCCTAGGTGTCCAATCCTTTCCGTAGCTAAGAATATTCTTGCCTAAGCTTTCAAGTATAATCAATGGCAAAGTCTGAAAGACGAATTAGGAATGGAACACAACACCGTCTATACTCGATTTGGTATCTCAAAGCGAAGCTGAAGCTGCAAGTACCGAGCTCCAAAAGCTGTGGAAAAAATCCGGATGTTCAGAAATGGAACATTTGTGCCGATGACGCGATCCGGTGTTCAGCACCTCGCTGCAGCGCCGCATTCTGTTTCAGGTTGGTCACTCCTCTTCACCAGCTACATCGCATTTTGTTGCTTCTGGGCGCAAACGCGGCGCACACGTGCAAGAATGGTCTTCATATTTTTGGCATGTTCTGCAGTTGGTTTGGCAGTGTCTGCAACATTTATTAACATTTACCTTTTACGGAAAATCTTGAAAGACGCTGCACGAACTTTGGCTTACAAATATAATGTCTTTGTGCAGTGATTTCGTTCTTTCCCAAGGCTTCGCAGTACTGAATGTCATGACCGGAGATGCTTTGCGGCAATGTGGGATGGCTCTTGAAAGATGGCCTTTGTTTGGACCCACAGGCTTCCAGCAATTGGATATATCCATGATAAACACATCACCATAAACTGATCCGATCGGAGGAGGGCGTCTATGGAAAAGAACCTCAATGACAAATTCTTAGATCAAGAATGATAAGAATGATAAAACAAAGTACAATCATCCGCCTGCCGTGTTTTGTTAGCCACTGAGGCGTAATGAATTTCCTGTATTCATGGCATCTGTGATAGAACCATAGTGTTGGACCGATGCTTTGACCATGTCGGCTGTTTGTTTCATGTGGGCATGTGGGTGTGCTTAAAAACACATGCGCTGTCATCCCCTCCTCCCTGTTTTTCTGAACATCTAGGAACCAAGTGCGAGCGCTTCCGCAAGGAAGCGTGAGCTATCCTGCGTCCAGTTACTAGGAGCGTGTTTAGTACCTCAAGCAGTTACTAGGAGCGTGTGCGTATACCTCTTCCTCTTAGTGGCCTACCCCCTCCGGCACGATGTGTACGCTACGCACGTCTTCGATTGGTGACAAAATGAGCGACACGCCTTCTCAGGTCTTTTGCCATAGCGCCATCACTGGTGCAGAGCAGGATCATGAGATTATGGTCCAATCCATGGTCAACGAGCAAGACCGAATACGGCATGCTTTTGCAGACCTCTTCCATCTGATGGACAAGGTCGGAGGGTTGTATGGGAGGTTCTGACTTGATTTTTGCCTAATTGAGATTGATTGACGGGGCTGAACCGCTTGGCTCTGTGCAAGTTGGTATTCCATGGCATGGTTTGTGCTGAGATGCCTTGGTGATTTCTCAGGATGGAAGCGGTACAATTACCATCAAGGAGTTTGAGAAGGGCTTCCATGTTGACACGACAAAAGCGCTTTTCGAGGCTCTTGGATTAAAAGCCGAGGATGCTTGGACGCTCTTCCGGAGTTTGGACAAGGACGGTCGAAACCGTTTGGGGTTCACCGAGCTGCTCACGTGTGACGACAGACAGTTCGCTGCTCGTCAGGACGGCGATCACCGAGTGGGTGAGCATGAGTTTGTCCAAGGTTGCATCCACATTCGAGGCCCTGCTCGGCAGGTGGATCTGAGAAGACAGGCCCAGCGCACCAGGACGGATCCGTGTTTTTGATCACAACATCTACTGCACTACTCGGTAAAACTGATTCGCACCGCCAGCGTCACCCAGCTTGGCACGTTCATAGCATTGGTGCCCCAAAGCCCCAAGGCGAGAGCCCAAAACGCTCCTCAGAAAGCATTGTCACGAAAGGTAACTACGGGTGGCACTGTGCAGATCTGTGCAGCTTTCGTGCGAGACTTGATTCAAAAGTCCAAGAATCAGCTACAACTCAGATCAACTCAGAAGTGCACGCTTCACTTCCCTTCGCGAAATCTGGACGTCCAAGTAAGACCGTTCGGATCTCCAGCACCTTCCGCAAAAAGCAGGCCCTCATTGCAGAATCGCAGAAGGGTCCGCATGTGCACCTTTTCGTGTGAACATGTCTCGAACGATTGCCTTTCTGGGGCTATCCAGGGCTCGCTTATTGAAAGATTTAGTAGTAAATACAATCATGTCATGTCTGAATCACTGATTTATGCGTTCGTGTTAATGCAACAGGAGGGGTTGTCTTCTAGATGAGCTCTTATGTTTCTGTTTTAGGTTGTGTTTGAGCTCTAGGCTCTAGGGGCTATTCATAGCCAATACTGATGCTTGCTCAGAGATGTTCAAAGGGCAACATGCCCTGAAAGTTTCTTTTGTTCAGACTTCACCTTGCCACCACATACCAGGAGTCAATTAGACGGCTTGGAAATCAATGGTTATGAGAACCTGGCTCTTTTGAAGGAGATTAGGGTTGGTTGGCGCTTGCAAAGAATGATGCGTGTGCATGGGTTGACCCACGTGCATTTTGTCGTCAACCCATTGACGTCTAGCAGTGCAAAGCTGAAAGTTCCTAGACCCTGTTCAACGTTGATATCGCTGATTTATCGCTGTCGAGCTTTGGGGAGGCGACCATGACGATTTGAGCCGCGAAACGCGCAGGAGATGGCAGAGCAGATGGGCATTGACCCGGGCCACATCTTAGAGCCCATGCACTCTGAACGCCGCAGCAGCCGTGGTAGCCGACACAGCCGTGGCAGCTGTTAGCCGAGGGCCAAACGGCCCGTCCGCATGTGCCATGTGCAAGCTAGGCTAATGGTCAGCAGGGTCGAGCGGCTCCTTAGGAAAGGGGAGGTCTTGCAGTGTTGATCAGTGTTGCACATGAGACTTTTTTGGTATGCCTCACTTTGTAGGGTTCTAGATGGTTCTAGAGTAGTTCTACATGCTAGCCTTTAGCTAAGTGATAGCCTCGTTTCACTAGGTGAATAGACCTCGACCCTGGTGCAACTGAAAGACTTTTTGGGTCTCCAAAGGAGACCCTGTCATGTTCAAATAACGAAAAGGGACATAGCGTGACAGGGCCGACCAACTGAGGAAGGAGACATTTGTCAATGTTTATATATTTAACATTATTTAACTATATAGTTGTATGATGTTATATTTACTGTATGTTTTGCGTCATTGAGTCACCCTGGTAACTGGCGGTTGAGAGGGTCAAACCAGATTGAAAAAGTGCTAGAAAGGAAACAACATGTCCATGGAACAGCCTGAACATATGCCGAGGCTCGCTCACGGCGAGTGGTGCCTTTGCCACGTGCGACTCCTCCAGTTCTTTTGAAGGAATACCAATGACTCTGTGCAGAACTGTTGACATTGCAATGAACAGACTTCTGAAGTAAACAAGAAACGGGTGTGATTGAACCTGATTAAGCTTCATGTTTGCATAGTTTTTCTTTTTTGGCGTATTTTTCTTTCCGATAATTGTCTTCACCATTTATTGCTTTATATTAAAACAGCCATGAGGCCTGGAACCTCGGCGCCAAGGCGTGAAATGGGTTCTCTTCCTCGCCGCTTCCTCGAAAAACTCGAGCCACAAGTCGTTTACCGTGGACATACAAATACATTATATATATACATCATTATACATATATGATATTATATAGATGATTTTGTTTGCATTTAACATATATAATGTTTGTATATTATTGTTGTTTATATATAGTAATACAGTATTTGTATGTATATGTAATCTTAGATAATATTATATTGCTTCTTCACTACTTATACATATATATTCTATTTACTGCTTTACGACCGGCTGCCTACCAGTTACTGAAGCCAACCACCCGCATGGCCTTCTCGCCCATGAATCGAGTCCACCGTGTCGTGGAACGAGTGAGGTGCCTCCAGAGGTGCCAGCAGAGCACGGGACTGAGAGGGGCGGTTTGGGGCACTTCGGGGCGATCCGCCTGATAGCAATGGCCTCCAACCTACTAGCAATGAAGTATTGGTTTTAGCATTTTAAAGCATGATCCAGTTGGTGTGCACGGACTGGCAAGGACGTTTGTTTCCACTTGACGGAGCCTTGACCCATGACATGACTGAGCCTTTCAAGGCCAACATGCAGGACTCGAATTGTCTTCCAGACTTGGTGCCGCCCAACATCCAGGAGCCTTTGGGCCAAACCTAAACGGCTGAGCAGTGCTTTTGCGAAAAATATAAAGCAACAAGTTAGTTTGGTCTCAATGGAATTATATAACAAGTGCAACAAAGGGGTATTGCCACGGTATGTTCTATTTTACAATGGTCCCCCTACTTTCAGTCATCAGAAGTTCTGCACAGCTGCTTTACTCTATTCCATGGACGCTACTTTGATCCATTGCTGCCGCAGATGTTATCCATTATCATACAAAAATTGCTCAGTCAAAGAGCTCCACTTGGTAGGTCCTTCCAGTGACAGTCCAAATTTGTTGCAAAAAAACAACGCTGACAGTTTGTCCACCCCATACTCGGTGCATTTAGCATGTTGTGTGGACAATGTGGACTGGCTGCCCCTTTTTGCCAGGCCCTAGGCACCATCTCACAAGTCACAAACGGCTCAGCTTTTTACATGCTGTTTGCCCAGTTCAAGGAGCCTTCGACGCTAATCACTGAGTAGGATTTGAACGTCCTCCTGGACAGCTGGCTGTCAGCGCCCCGATGCTTAGGAGCCGATGATTCAGCATCCGCTGTGTGAGCCTCGTTTGAGTAGATGTTGTGCGATTGCTCACTGAAGAGATGAAGACTTTGTCAGCATGGTTTTCACTGTCTAGCCCTTCTGTGAAATACGTTTAGACGCTTCTTGGCTCAGTCCGTTGAATGCCTGCAGCTGCTCAGTTGCTTGCATGTGCTGCATGTGATATTTGCTTTGCTACTTCTGAGTATACATCACGCTCGGTGTGTGAGCATGCCTTGTGCTCTGCAGACTCTCTTCCCGCTCACGTTCAGCACACCCTCCGCCTCTGTAATGTGTCGGTTAATGTTCGCGATGACGAGAATGCACTGTTCCTTTGCTAACTCTAGAACATGCTTTTGGCATCTTTTGGCATCCTATGCATAATGACCAAGCTCCTCGAGTCCTGCACTGGTACAGGATGTAGATGTAGGGGGGTTTATATATTCCTCTTTCGCCGCAGATTCTGACGATTTTGGCAGATTGTTGCAGCCAAGGTTGGGGTGCATTTGGTAAAGCACCCAGATGATCCGTGCCGCGCATATCGAACTCCAGAGATGACCAGCTCCAGAAAGCAGCTGTTCCCAAATAATGATGTCACAGCACCAAGAATGCTTTTTTCATGACGCGGTCATCGAGTCGTCTGACAATTCACTCCGAATCCTCAAGGGTCTCACCGTTCATTTTTGTGGCGTGAATGTCCACACAGCGCACACCAAATGTGGACAGTGGCCCTTCAGTCGCAGGAACTGGTGAGGTATTTTGTTCTCAATTCGTTCAAGGGCCATAAACTTCAGGACTGTCAAAAGCATGGACCCCTAATGTAGAATCTAACATACAGTAGCTTAGCTAAGGCTAATAATTCATTACGTGAAGTTACTAGTTTTTGTGAAATTGTTACTCCTGAGTCAGGCAGAAGCCTAGTGGCCACTGTCCGTATGCTGAAGCATTCCTCTCTATTTTGTCTACAGCATCTGGTTTCAAGATGTTTCAAGCTTTTTGACCAGTAATGTAGGGCCGCAGTAGGGCCTATGGATTTTCTAAGTGTCAGACTGTCAGACTGCTTATGAGACATTGCACAGCAACATCGCTTCTTGTTAGATCCAGCAACGCAACAACAAGCAGGGCTACGGTAGCCAAGAACCCACTGGCACGTGCCAGTGTGTTGATACCGATCCGCTTGGGCTTGAGCGTTTCTTTCTTGGCTTCCAGGATTACTGCATTGCTATAACCTGCCACAACCTTGTTAAGGTTCCACTTGAAAATAATTAGTCAGGAACAACAATGAGGAATGCCGAAGTGCGCCAAAAGCTCCAGGTTTTTCCAGCAAGCCCACCGGCACAAATGGCATTTGTTTTGCGAGCAAAGAAGTGAAGGATAGTGATGACAATTTGGGCGATGGGCTTGTGATTGAGAGTCGTTTCACCTCACTGGCTCCCAGAGTCTGTTCAAAGCAAAGCTCAGCGGATCTTGCTTTGCCAGGGGTCCAATCGACGGACTGTAGCACGTGACCTTTGATTTTATCAAGAATCAATAGGTTCTACTTGGGTTCCGAACAACATTCTCTAAAACACACTCAAAGAACCTGAACACGAGATTTGGTTTGCCTCAACATTGTTAACGACAATATTTATATATAACTTTTATTTCCGCTTCTACCATTTCCATTTTGTTTGTGAGCCCCGCTGCAACGAAGCGGTGGCAACAGCCGTGAGTCTCCCCACGCTGTTTTGGCTCAAGAAAGGTGACCCGCCCAAGCAGGGCAAAATCACTGAGCGGTGCTCAGGCTTTTAGTTTTCTCAGGTTTGGAAAGGGGCATGGGTCTTGCTCGGCAAAATAGTGAGTTTTGGGGCTTCAGAATCAGATACAATCAGATACACTGACTACCCATCACTACCCTAATTGCTCGGTATCAGACACTTCTGGGGTTGTTCCGCTCTGTTCAGACGCTTTGATTAGCAGACAAAAAAGGGTTGTGACATGTTGTGACATGCAGACAAACAAGCCATTTGACTTGTATCTGAGTCATGTACCGTCGCAGTCACCGACTACACCATTTAAGTCGCTGGCGGTCACTGTCCTTCGCCCCGGTTCGGGTGCCATCATTGGCGTTCAGGCACCCGATCACTACACAAGAGGTCAGACGAGGCAAAGCCACAATACTCACTCCGTTTGCCCAGGTCTGCGATGGTGCTCGGAGAACTTGGGCAACGCATCACTGCGTCCTTCCGTCGATTGAACCAAGCGCCGATTATCGAGCCTTGAATTGGACTGGTATTACAGGTGGCAAGATTTTGGACCACCCACAGCTGCTGCAAGTTACAGCAAAAGCTGCCCAACAATTCTATGTAAAGTAGAGGACCTTGGTCTTTCTTTTTGATGTACAGCCCCATGGAAAAGTTTTGCCTCACGAGATTCTTGATTTAGACTCTTGACATATCATTTACTGTATCATATATTCACAAATGAACAAGAAGCTACTAGTGACAAAAGGCATCGCTACTAGGAGCAAGAAGCTACTAGTAACCTTTGTGACTCGAAAACCGATGGCCATTTGTGTGCCACAGCCGACCAGGCCATCATGCCTTTTGCATCCTTTTGCCCATGTGAGCATGTTTGGGATGCACAACCAATTACTGTACAATTCTGATCGTTTGCAAGGATTCACTTTTTTCGACAGACAAGCCCTCCAGACCATTCCCACCCTTGAGGATGACGATCTTCTGGATGAAGTGCTGAAGGAAATTGCGGCAGCTTTGCTCCATGCGGATGTGAACGTCCGCTATGTCTCAGAGCTGAGGACAACAAAGCCTGCAAAGCAGGCATAGAAGAAGAAAGTGGACAGACTTTTGGACTTTGGGGAACATGTAATTGATTATTCTTTAGATTACTGTAGATGCTTCTTTGCACTTTAGATGGGTGGAGTTGGCGCTGAACACCAATGTGTTGCAGGAGCAATGTGAAGAAACGAGTGCTTCTTGAAAGTGATGCCAGTGGCGTCAACAAGCGCAAGTTAATCCAGAAGGCAGCTCAAGTCCTGTTGCAAAGAACGACCGCGGGGTATATCAATAACAGCAGTCTCTATATATATAATATAATAGCAACAACAGTCTACTATAATAATCCCACCAATAATAGCAATCATCGTAACGACATAAATCAATCATGTTAAAATATGTTCTATTGTATATATAGAGAGAGCGAGAGTCTAATGGTTTTCATAGTTCGTCTCATGTGGGCCATCCCTGTTTTACAACCTGGCTCTACAGGCAGTCGTGGAGGAACTTGTGCGGCTGGTGTCTACGGATCGCAAGCCCTACAAGCTCGAGTCTTTTGGAAGCAAGCGGCATTTTGATGGGTTGTTCATCTCTTCTTTCCATTTTAGTGGGGTGTTGAGCCAGCTACATTTTCTGGCATGCTGCTGTCAATCCGTGGCCGCAGACATGCCTTGAAGGCCACATGTTCTGACACTCATTGGCTGAGGAAAGGCAAGTGCAACATCATCATGTTCGTGGGCCTACAGGGAAGTGGTAAAACCACCACGTGCACCAAGTATGCACACCACTACAATCGCAAAGGCACAATTTGCCAAGTCGAGAGAGCAATCAGACAATGCTGTGATTAAATGGTGTCAAATGTCAGACATGGACCCCAATGATCGAATAGCAGTGAAGCACTGAAGTAGACGAAGCAGCTCATGTATCCCTTCAAACACTTTGATCGGCATTCAGGCTTCATTTAACCCAGTCTGTCATTTCGCGTGTTGAGCTGCCAGGCTGGAAGACAGCTTTAGTATGTGCTGATACCTTCCGTGCTGGTGCATTTGACCAGCTGAAGCAGAATGCTTCGAAGGTGCCGCTATGTCCTGTTGGCACATGTTGGCACATCTGATTTAAAGCTGGATAAATGATTTGAAGACTTGGAATCTTTGAGCTCACGAGGTATGTAAAGTGGCAAGGACTTTCAGTTACATTTTTACAGCTCACGACGTCACGATATATGTTTTACGATATTTTAGGAAGAGGCTAGAAGTTAGCTTCAAGGGATCAAATTGAATTGGATTGCGCCCATCATTTGTGTGATAGAATCAACAGTTCGGAATCTCTCCCCCTCAAGTATATACTGATTCAGCGGTATTGCTTAACCCATTGCAAGTCCACCAACGAGTGTCGTGTCTTTGCCAAACAATGCTGTCTTCAAAATGGGAACCTTTTCAATATACCACGCGAGCATACCAACACGGCAATACGTCGGCGTGTGACAACATGTCAGCGTGGCGCTAAGCAAGCGTACCGGCAGCGTCACAACACGAGACATGTCAGCGTATCGGTGGCAGCACGTCAGAGGGGCAGCGTATCCGCAAAGTGCTCCAGAACTTACCCCGAAACTTCCGCCACATCCTTTGCAACCTCCTCCAGAACATGCACCTTCTCCCCAACTTGCTCTGGAAGCCATTCCGAAACTAGCTCTGGAACTTGCCCCGAAACCTGCTCCGGAACTTGTTCCGGAACTTGCCCTTGAACCTGCTCCAGAACATGCCCCGGAACCTCCTCTGCAACTTGCTCCAGAACCTCCTCCACAACCTGCCTTAGTGTTTGGAACAGCAGTCTTGCTCTCGCTTTCGTTCCCGCCTCTCAAGTAAGTACCTTCCTAACAATCATGGAAGCAGACCGGACCCTGCTTTCCAATGGATTCTGTAGCGACCTCCCATGACCACACTGAAGAAGACCGAAGTGCATGAAACAGAACTATATAGTTAGTAGCTGTCTTGAGCCAAGATGTTGGTAGCTTATTTTGTAGTTCAAAATTCCTGACGTTCATGACTTTGGTTGATGCTTGAATGCAGGTAAGAATACCTTTTTATGGCGACTACAATGAGACGGATCCAGTGAAGATCGCTGAAGAAGGCCAAGACTTCGCACAGCAAACCTATGATAATGTACTTATATACTTGCTGTAGCGATACCTACTCTACTCTACACCATGAACTTGTATATATAGATTGAAGAAGTGAGAACATGCTGTCCACTGCCTGCGTGTTTGCGAATTTTGAGAGGTGTAGAGCTTTTCAAGAAAGAAAAGTATGATTTGATCATCGTGGATACGTCTGGGCGTCACAAGCGTCTTGGCTAAAAGTTGAAGAGCTGGTCAGATGACAAAGCACTATGCCGGTGTGGGCAGTCAATATGCTTCGGTATAGCCAAGATTGGACAAATCATCGAGTTATATATATATATGTAATTTCTTCCTTCAGCATGCACCAAATATACTTTTTGGGGCCCTAGGCAAGAGGCAGCTCTATTCGATGAGATGCAGCAGGTGGCAGAGGCAAGAATTTGGTGAGGGATGGAGTTGCATAACCTGGGGAAAAGCTTGTTCTCACGTTTCAAAAGCTTGACAAGGAAAATGGGAAGCATGGGGAAAGACCGATACTGTAGCAGTTTTCATCAGCTTTCGATACATTCTACTTTCGCTGTTCCTTCTTGTTGCCTGTGTATGCAAGGGTGGAACATGATGTGAATTTGCAAGGCAAGATTGTCCAGTGCAAATCCCCTTTATAGGTGGTGTCGCCAAACGACACCATTTTTATCATGGATTCGCACATCGGCCGCTACCCAAGAGCTGTGGCTGGGTCTTTCAGCTGCTGAGTCTGCTAGATTTGGCAGTTTAGGCAAGCCGATGATGCTTTTATAATATCAAGACAATAATTAATGTCTAGACTTCATGACTTCCTTTGATCATAGTTGAGTTAGAATGAGGTCTGTCCTCTTGTAGGTTCTGACAAGGTATGACTGTTCTCAGTCAGTGGAGTGGGTCTACCAAGGTCAGGCCTGTTTTGATCAGGCAAAGGCCTTCAGAGAGGTGGTGGATATTGGTAGTGCGAGAAGCTTACCGTACATTGCTGGAATGTGTCTTGCTGCTTAGGAGTAGGAGAGAGCGGGAGAGAGCTTGGATGAAGAATCTGGATCTGTCACAACACAAGTGGCAGAGGCTATAGTGGGACATGCTGTCGTGAGATTTTAATCATCACCTGAGCCACGTTTTTTTTGCAAATGATTAGGTTTATACAAAAAGGGAACTGTTGAGAAGTCGCGGAGGCTGTTCTGCTTGGGGCGTAGGCGTCGTGTAAGCATTTTGCGTAGGTGGGTGTTGAAAGATTTGCGTAGGCAGTCTTGCGTAGGCACCCTTTTCATGAAAGCCGGAATTTTCTTACTCAGACTTCTTTAAAAGTTGTTCAAGGGTCTTGGGGAAAGATAATGTTGGCTTGTAGTTGTTTAACTTGACACTTGCTTGCAAATTCCAGTGGGGAAGGAAAATGAAAATGAATTGTAACGACATGGCTACAGTGGATGTTTGAAGTTTGTTTGTCGAAGCTATGGGGGCACATTGGTTTTTGAGGTCAAAAGCTTGATCGTGCTTGGTCTGGCACACCGGCTCTTGAGCTACAACTGTGCGCACCCTGTTGGTACCATAATCAATGGACCTATTTTCGCGTAGGCCCCGCGTAGGCGCTCGCGGAAGCAGCGCGTAGGCAAGAAGCTATTGGCTGCTGCTACTGCTTGGCTGCTGCTTTTGCTGCTGCTTTTGCTGCTGCTTTTGCTGCTGCTTGGCTGCTGCTGCTGCTGCTGCCTCTTGTTTTCTGCTTGTTGTGCGCTGTTTATGTGCTGCTGCTTCCACACTGTAATTGGATCGGCTTGATACAAAATCTATCTGGCCATCGGTAGCAAAGCTGTAAACGCCTTGTAAACAGGAACCTGCTGTGACCCGGTCGCATCGGGCCACTACTTGCGGATTATATAGCTCTTTTCGAGTCACCTGATGTGACTAAAGTTGGTGACAGCACCCTGCGTAGGCATCCCGCGTAGGCACCTAACAAAGAGAACCTCTCGCGTAGGCATTTGCTTGAGAGGGGAGCCCAGGCGTAGGCACCCGCGTAGGTACAGACCCAGTGTATAAGCCCCACACCACAAAAAAAAACACAACTCACCTAAGGATACTCAAGACTCATTGACTCAAGACTTATCACTTTAACTTAATATATATATATATTGTTTAACAGTATTTGTGCATTTGTTGTTTAAGACTTAAAGCATATGCTACATAATGCTGTCTTTTCTTTTGGTCACCTGAGTCATCCGGAATTCTGTCCACCCGAGGTGATCATCACCAAATTGGATGGCCATGCCAAGGGTGGTGGTGCGCTGTCTGCGGTCTCGGCAACGTGTGGAGACCCAGTCTTCAAGTTCCCAAAGCAAGGATGTGATGCGGATGCTCCACATCCTTCTACCTGTGTTTCAAGTTGTGAGAGTTGTGAGGAACGTTTTGGTCACGAACATTTTGAGATGGTGAGAAACGGTGAAGATCAACTTCACGCGCTCCCAGCACAAAAATCATGCGCACCACTGAGATGGAAGAAGTATTGAAGGTCGTGGACCGGGGATCGCTGGGTTGAGCTACCGATGGTGGCGCTTAGCCGTCCGGTGAAAAACACACTTTCCTTTTGTTTGCTCAGGAACTCGCCCATCATTTTCCTGGGCACCGGTGAGCACTTTGATGAGCACCTTGGTAAGACCTTGTTGAAGAGTAGTAGTACTAGTAGTAGTAGTACTAGTAGTAGTAGTAGTAGTAGTAGTAGTAGTAGTAGTAGTAGTAGTAGTAGTAGTAACTAGTGGTGATATCCAAGAAAGAACCCACCTTTCACGATAAGTCTTCTGATTGTTTGACAAAGAACAGATCGATCGCCGATTTGATTGATGCCGAGTCCTCCCTCTCCTTGACTTGACGTGTGAGGTTCCAACCCTTCGACGCTCAGAGCTTCGTTTCACGCCTTCTTGGCAGCTTGGGATCAACAGCTGGAGCTTCGACTTGTGCGATTCCAGACTTGGTCTCCGTCATCAAAGGTGTTCGGTCAAACTCATGCCATCGACATTGGCAAAGCAGGACCCACTGAATAAACCAGTACAGTGAACTGACAAGCTGTTTCAAGCAAGTTGTTTGCAATAAATTTTGCAGGGTGCATACGACCATGGCGCTGAACTGAAGAACTGGGACCATAAATGAGACCCATCCCACTGGAGCTGTGATTCAGAGCGAGGCATGGGGGACCTCAAGGGGCTCTTCCAGACCATCACGGAGGCGCCAAGGGGCTCTTCCAGTCCATCATGGGCACATGTTCAGTCCGTTTGTTCGGTTTAAGAAGGTTTCTTCTACTGTATATATATATTGTTCTTTTCAATCTAAACCTGTAGCATGAAATCTGGAGCTGCGGCGACAGATGAAAACTGCGGAATGCAGGCCATGCCCTTGGACAAGCAGCCTGAGTTGTTGAACAAAATCTCCAAGGGAAGGCACAATGACTTGGAAACAAGCGTTCCGAACTGACTTGGAAATGCCAGGGTGCAAGTGCTGACAAGAACAAGATTGAGTGTAGTTTCCTATAAACTGATACTGATATTCGATATTGGCAGGTTCTGTTCCCAGTTTTGCCTCAACTGCCGTTTCAGATCTCAGCTTTGGCATAGTGGGAATGGGTTTGCAGAGACACTTTGCAGGTTCTCTCTTCGTGACCTGTATGAGCAGTGGCGATCTTAAAGCCGAAAACATTCAGCATCGAATGAACCTGCTTATGGGACTTATGATGATGTTCGCAACAGGAACCACTCGCTAGCACATCAGGTTTCTAGGCTCCAGAAACTGCTGGTAGTCAAACCACAAGCTACCAATATTTGGTGCTCTAAAGGTCCTTTAGCATTCTGAGGTTCCAGAACTTGCAAAAGTCCGGCATCCCAGCAAGGTCTCCAATCGACTAGGATGAAAGCGCGGACTAAGAAAAGGTCACGAAAGAAATGGTCGTGTGCCGTGCTTTGGCGTTCCATTGTGATTTCTTTCTCCACAGAGACTTGTCATAAACCATAGAATGAAAAAACACGAGACATGGCTGCCACAATTGCCCTGGTCTTGAACACTTGGTTGTCATTTGGCTGTAGTGGATTTGCAATTCGTACTTTAATACAACTCTCGGCCCTTTAGAGCCGACAATGGTAGGGGTAGATGGTTCATCCCGGTGGCACGCTTACATGACAACTCAAGCCGACTGCCTTTTAGCAGTCAAGCTTTCTCAGCTTTTTACTGAGGATGGGACCAATGAGTCAACTCATGCAGATGATACCTGGCATGTCCAACTTAATGCCAGCAGGCTGGGGTTGATGGCGGACAGCCAATGTGCTCATGGCGGATGATTCCGGTTGGTCTTTGCATCTTAGCCTCACAGCAACTCCCCTCAGCGGAAGTCTGGATGGCTTGCGTACGACCGCGTCAAGCGGGCTTAGCAGCGCTTAGCAGGTGCAGAAAAGGAAGGTGTCAAGCGAATAAAACGTTTCATGGCGACTTGGTGGAACGCTTCGAGGAAGGGTGAAGGGGAAGCATTTGGACACCGGAGACGGAGGCGTGACATGTCAGGCTGAGGATGACAAGAGTAAGGGCCTCCAACCTCATCAGAATTTAGCCTCCAACCTAATAGCGATGGCCTCCAACCTATATAGGTGTTCTTTTTGTGCTTTGATCTTGCTGCGCCACCCACTGCGCGCTGATCAGAAGTAAGGTCATCATGGACAGCATGCCAGGGACACAGCTTTTCCTAGCCCTTCATGGGCTTCAGACAATTGCTTCGTGTTTGTTCGGTGTAGCAAAAAACGCTGCTGCACTGTTCATTGAATAGCTTGTATTGTTTCACGGAATGCCGAAGAATACTTCGAGTAGCTTTTGTGTCTTGCTCTGACAACTTCTCCACGAGCTGGCTAGGTTGGAGGCCATCGCTACTAGGTTGGAGGCTATCGCTCGAAGGTTGGAGGCCATCGCTAGTAGGTTGGCGGCCATTGCTATTAGGAGCAATTTAGGAATCCTTTTTCTTCATTGACCCAATGAACAACCGGTGGTAAGGACTGATGCCGAGCTTGACTGCGAAGCACAGCTGAAGCTTGCTGAATTTCAGTGCCTGTATTCTTCTATTGGGTGAAGTCTTGCTTTAAATGGACCTCCATGTGTTCATATGTGTTCTGGCCCAAGAGTAGAACAGTAACTACGCCTTGACCCTAATAAATGTAATCACACCTAAAGTTCTAAAGAAAAAACAAAGACAAGTAAGACAACGTCCAGCAAAGCATGTCCCTTTCCATGGATAAATGTAATCACGCTGTCCTGCTTCCACCAAGGAACGACTCCAGAAAGTTGCGCATTGCAAAAGGTGCAGGCTCTTCCATATTGGAGGCTTTGGGTGCCGGCGCTGACACGCTGACACCAAAGCAGCGCATTTTTTTTTGCAGCTAGGTGAACCTGCTCATTGATGAGTACAAGAGAATGGAGAAGATGGTGGGCAAGATGGGCAAGAGCGGTCTTTTCGGCAAAGGCGCTTTGCTGCGTTGAAGGAAACATCACTAAGGAACTTTTTTTTCTTCTTTGCAGCATCGATAAGCTTTACAGCTGAGCGCTTCGCGTACATTATGAGCTGCCCAGCTGAGCCCAACGTAGTCGCTACAGAGTCGTTGGATCTAGGTCTTCGTAGCCCCCTTGTCAAACAACAATCACTGTGAAAGAAGCGCAGCTGGGCCTCAAAAACACTGAACAAGCCAAACCGCAGCTGGGCAGGTGGTGACCTCACACAGCTTCAGAGAAATCCTGGACAGGTGGGACGACCCGTTGAAAAACAGTCGGATGGACATCTCGGGACATGGAGATTGGACGTTACAATGGAGATCGGGTGACTCAGAAAAGCAGTCATGTCAGTCATGTCCGGAGATCTATGGAGCGGGGGGGGGTAGGCCGCGGAGGTCGCTAGGTAGCGAGTAGCTTACTTCAGCTACTAGGAACTGGACGCAGGATAGCTCGCCTCAATATGCGAATTTCATATCTCTTTGTCAGTGAAACCACTGCTAAGCCTGTTGCTGTTCGAGGTCATGCAGAAAATGCTGGACTCCCAGAACTTTGAGGGTTCACGACTTGCTCCTTTCGCAGACTTCAACGCGCAGACTTACTCCGGTCCGATGCACCCAGCTTGAGGCAAAGTGCGATGGACCCTCGAATGCTACAGCAGATGGGTGGAGCACAAAACATGTGCCTAGGCTGCCTTGATGGAGGCACAGACTCCCCAACTCCAGACTCCCAAAACTTCTGATATCTCGAGAGGGTTCATACCAAGAGGTCCTGCACACTTCAACGATGGATGGACCCTGTCGATCGAAAATAGTTGGTATTCGGTATACTTGATCAAAAGGTCGAAGTAAGGACACCCATCGAGAGCCTTTTATGTCGTTAAGAAAGCTTCCCAAAAGGGGGGCGACAAAGCTTATCCCCGTAGTGGCCTCAACGGTGGTTTCGGGGGGGACCCGGTCCACAGTCGGCTCGCGTTGTTTGCGGCTCTAGTGTTTCACCGCTTCGAAGCGGTTGGAGGATGAGCCGCCGTGCCCACACTGAACCGTGCGAAATCGTGACAGGTCTCAGGTCAAATTGCGATTGGGAGGGATCTGGGTTTTCAGCAACACTGTGTCGAAATCATCCGAAACTGGTGTGGAGCAAACTCTTGCTAGGACATGTCAAGGTGTGGCATAGTCACTTTTCGTGGCAAGCGCAGTACTTCGTTTGTGTTGTAGGTGCTGGGATCCAGTTCACATAGCAGATGCAGAAGGAATCGTGAGCTTGCAACATTTCCAGGTCAATGACACCGGCGTGTCAGCCGCTAAGGGTGGCATGGATTGCAAAACTGCTTGGAGTGCTGCGTGATATGTTCGCTCTGATGCCACTGACTTGCGGAGGAAATCTAATACGAAACGCATCGACACGCCAATGTTGGAGGCTTGACGCGTGACTTTTGGAGGAGGTCGCATGTGAAATGCTTGTTTTAAGTCTTGACGCGTGAGTTCTGGAGGAAGTCTCATGTGAAATGTTCGTTTTCAAGATTTCTGTAGAAGAGTGTGCGACAAGAGTGTCCTACAACAGTGTTGCACAAAAGTGCCCCACATTGTTTGACCATGTCTGACAAGAATGTCCTGCAAGAGTCAAGAGCCTGCCTTTGCGCATGCTTGCGTGCATTCCAGTTCGTGGCTCTATTTTTTCCGACTCCGGGAACATGTTTGTCGCGATGAAAGATCCACGAAAGATCTCCTTTTTTAATCCATTGTTTTCCTCTTCAGGTTCCTAGTCGCTGCTTGGCCCTAAAGAATGCTGTTCAGTCCTAGATCAGTGGTGAACCATCGAGCCAAGTAGCCATACCTTCTCTCATACCGTTTGCAAAGCCATGCTGTGTGTGCTCGGACCCCAGGATGAAGATGATGAAGGCCTTAAAGAGGGCAGTGTTTGCAATGCCTATTGCTGATCACCTTGCATGCTTGGTTTTGAACATCTCTATGACATTGTAAAACGATCAGGTAGATTGGACGACATTCTTGAGATTTGTCATAGATTCCCTTGGCAGTTTTCTTGGGGCATGTTAATACATGTTATATCAGACACCTGCAAGACAAAAACTCTGACATGCTTCTCATCGATGCTGCGGCAGCGGCGCCTAAAGGAGTTTGGTAAGATGGAAAATATGGGTGGCATGATGGAGGGCCTGGGAGGCATTGATCCTTCTCAGGCACGGCTATGCACGAATGTGTGTCCATGTGTCTCCTTCTTTTTGTGGTAGGGCAGCAGGCATGTCTCTCAGTCTCAGGCAAACCTCTTTGGCACAGGTCGCAAGCATGCAAAAGATGATGGGCGGCAAGATGAAAGGTCGAAGATGACGCAATCCACAACAATTTCTGCCTACATAGACCCTTTATATATGAATGCACACCAAGCTCCATTTTCATCACTGTAGTCCCGGAATTAAGACATGACTTTACACTGGAACAATTGTCAAGACAATAGACAATAGATTTCAAGTAGCCTTTGCCAGATCATTTGGCGGAGAGGACAGTCTCACCCCTCCAAGTGCACAGTTGGCATTGCCATGACGTTGCAACGCCCAACTCCAGATTAAAATTTGTGCTCATAGCCACAGCAAGTTCCTGCGGAGAATGCCAATGTTGTTTTCACAGATGTTTGCAAGTCTCTGTTGGCTTTCAATCTTCAAAGCCACCAGTCAGGTAAATTTCCTGACGCAAGAACTCTAGTTTGATACAGCTTAGAAACTTGACTCACTCAAAGCATGTGTCCGTGAAGGCGTGTCATGTTGTTTGTGGATGTCCGTGGCATGTCTAGCTCAATTGCGCTGATCCCAGAGAGGTTGGTTTTCGACGCCGGAAAGACGCCATTCACACTCGTCTGGGTTTTGAACGGAACTCAGTGCTCGGAAAGCCGGACGCTACAGGCAAGGACGCTACCAGGGGCTCCTGGCCTTACTACTAGCAAGAAGCTACTAGGGGGCTCCTGGCCTTACTAGTAGTGAACAAGAAGCTACTAGGGGCTCCTGGCATCGCTACTAGGAGCAAGAAGCTACTAGGGGCTCCTGGCATCGCTACTAGGAGCAAGCGACCTTCCGCAGCAGAATGACTGTGAGACGTGTTTCAGCGTGTTTCATCGCCTGAATTGGAGCGGTGCCTGGTAGCAGCCAAGGCCCGCTTTGAAGGACTGACTGCCCGGGCAGAGATGGCGAGTGGCTATGGCGGCGGTGTTGTGGTCGGGGTGCCCGGTGTGTGTGGAAGTTGCGTTTCCAAGGAGTTCTCGATGTTGGATAAACCACGGAGGTTGGACCGCCAGCGATTGCTTCGAGTTGCGTTCGGAGTTGGGTCGAAGCTTCGTGACCTTTTGCCATGTATGGTGCGTGGTTCGTGCGGTAAAACGTCAAACCAAACAAATTGGTAGAACTTAGAGACTTATATAGTGGTTTGCAAGCAACATTTAGCAGAGTGCCACCAAAGGGGTCGACCAGATGGCCCAGGCCTGCGCGCCTCAGCCTGACTCTCTTCCGGAAGGCCGTCATGCAGCTGGTTACTACTAGACTAGATACGGTTTTTTTCATGAATCCTAATTTTGTATTTGCTTTTCATTGAGGAGTTGTCACTTTTACAAAACCCACAGAGAGTTGCATGATCTGGAACATCTGCGAGAGATGGAGGCGTTGAATGTATGTGCAACACCGGGGTTAACTGTCATCCCAGTGCGGACCATCAGCCCATCGGCAGGTTTTGCAAAACCTCGAGAACCACTCCTCCCGGCCAGCGACCAATCCCCAAATCACTTCAGAAAAGGGCCGTGGGTGAGAAGGACCAAGACTATTCTATAGGTTGGAGGCCATCGCTATTGCGTAGGTTGGAGTCCATCGCTAGCAGGTTGGAGGCCGCTATTAGCTTCAAGGCTATTGGAGGCCATCGCTTGTACGCTTTGGAGCCTTGGCTGCCGAGTGCCGCACCCGAGGCTCGCACCAAGACATCGTCCTTTGGGAACGACGAGGAGCTGGCCGAGGAGCTACCTCCCAATTGGAGCCTCCGGCGGCTCCTTGGAGGGACAGAGTCAGACAGAGATGAGCGGGTGTGATCCGTGACATGCTGAGACCGAGACCCCTTCTTTTTTACATGTTGTTGGTTTCTTCAGATGTATTTTCCACTTTGTTACTTTGTTGTCCTTTTAGTGTTGACTTGTACGAGGTATCATGTAAGATACTTTGTGTCAGTCTTTGTTACGCACCTCAAGATGCTGGAGGCTTGTTGTTCAGCAAGCCTCTTCCGCTTCAGTTTCCTTGCTTCCGAGGTTTCAAGAGGATGCCAGAAAAATTCTTGTGGAGTGAGCCTGCAAGTCTTGGAACATTCTCAATCCACAGACTGCGAGTCTAGGCCTCTCAAGTCTCAAGCAACGCATGTCCAGATAAAGATAAGAGATGTCCAGAATTCAGATGTGTTCAGCTTCGTTCAGCAGGAGATTCTAGCCACTCCGCTTTTCCCGCTTTCGCCTTTGAAAGCTTGAAGCCTAAGTCTGAAGGGCCAGGAGTGGCCAGGTACTTCGTGTCTTTGGCAGTGGATGACACGGTGGTCTCAGTCCAATTCTCAGCACAGAGAGGCAGCCAGAGAGGTCGGCAGCACAGTGGTTGGATTCAATGTGATACAATATATATATATATAATTATATATATATATTATTATAGAACTGTACGGTGATCCCACTTCAAATCAAACCCTCAGGCAAGTGAAAAGATGTGTTGGGGAAAGGCTACTGTACATAATGTAATCTTTATAGCCCACAAGTTTCAATGGAGGAGCTTATACGATGCACCTAAGTATTCACCTGGTGTACTGTATTTCTTTTGCCATGCGTTTGGAGGGCAAAGCACATCAAGGCCACCTTTATTTCACGTTCTCGAGGTCCAGGAGCTGCTGACCGCTTGCCCATCTGAGGCAGGGAACGTGAAGAAAGGCTTAGGCGTTGAAAATCGTTGAAATAGGCTGAATCTGGTAGCATCCTTGTTCCTAGTAGTAATGCCAGGAGCTCCTAATAGCTTCTTGCTCCGAGTAGTTGAATCTGGAAGCATCTGGAAGCATTCGATATGGATTCCATGCTTTCTTGGACGCATTTACCATTTGACCCACCACGTTTGACCCATTTAGGCAGATGAGCTGGGGGTGGTTGCGATGAAAATCGCTGTGGACCGAGAGAAGGAGACGAGAGACGTTTGGAGACCGATGGGACTTTCTTAGCAGAAAGGCGTTGACCTCCGCCCAAAGATCTGTTTAGTAATCTTGGTGTAAGCAGCTCCTGGTCAAAATCATTAAACATCTATATGTAGATTTGATGAATTCTTGCAGCTGGAGCTACCCCGGCACAGAGATGTTGACACGCCTTGCTGTTCTGAGAACTGGTTTCACAAGACATGCATCATCCTACGACGGCAGGACACGGCCTCGGCTGTGGTCAGGCTCTTCGATGCCCTCAGTAGGCAGATTCGGAGATATTCGGAGATCAGAAAATGTACAATGATGTACCATGAATCTTTTTCTGACAGGTTCCATCCGCCTTTGATTGATTGAACATTGAAACATCAACAAGACAGGGCTCAGTCAAATCCATGATTCAATGATGTTCCATTAAGTTAGTTTCCATAAACATCTAGGAACCAAATCATTATATATATATATAGTGCAAGCGTGAGCTATCCTGCGTCCTACCTAGAAGCCAACTTAGCCTAGTAGCTTACCTTCTTACTTAATTAAGTAGTACCTACATGTACCTACTTAATTAAGTAGGATCGGACTAAAGACACGAGCCCATTCAGGACCTTGGTCGTCGTGACTGGTCGAACGTGACCAGATCCTTCCGCTTCATCGACAGGTCACAGGTCCTGGATCGTTCCGCTCTCATCCGTAGCTTCGAGAAGATCTTCTGCACGCTGGAGGAGCCGATCTTCTGCCCAAGACGGCAGGGAGTAGAGAACTCGTTGAGCGATACAACGGGGGAGCTGGTAGAGTCACGTTGTGAAGCAGCAGACTGGCTTGTAATTGTAGTCTTATGCTTTTCCAAAAGATATTTGCTGGCAAATCAGCTGCTCACAGTGTCACAGAGTCAGTACATGGGTTGATGATGGTGGACGGGGAATTGAGATGAATTGAGATGATGTGAGGACCTCAAGATCGACTGTCCACATGCAGAGAAGGAGGTCCTGGAAATCCTGCAAGGTTGTATGGACGATGCTTGGCAAGAAGACTTGTGGCCGCAGAGTCAGAGTTGACCTGAGGTAACTCCTCCAAACGAAGTCTTGTGGGATTGCCAATGGGCGCTGAAAAAGGGCACCGATTTCACAAGACTTCGGGCCTGCTATGGGTGTCGACATGTTGGGTACCCTGGACCAGCAATGGTCAAGGGACGTGGCCCCAGCGTAATACAGCGTAATCGTAGTTCTTGTCCCTTATCTTGCTCAGTCTTGCTCTTCAGAGGTTTATATAACCAAGTTCAGATGGCTGAGGCCAACTGCATCGACAAAAAGCTGCTGACAAAGCTACCGGCATTGCTGGCTTCCTTGGCTGTGGGTGTCAGCCACAGGTTGCTAATGAGGAAGGCCAAGGCCTTGACAAGGTCCTTTGGGTGTTCGTGTTTTGTTTTGAGCAACATTGCACAGCATAGCTATTGCAACTAAAATCCGCAAAAGAAACAATGACAATGAAATAGTTTGCCCGGTCAGTAGTTTTCACTTCCCAAGATTTGCCCCGACACTCGCCAGGAGACACTGCTCCGGGTTGGAGTAGCAGAGCAGGTCCGGCTTTTGTGGCAAGGTTTGGATTATGATTATATACGGTACGCAGTTCGTTAATTATGACTTTCGGCATAACACAAGTTTATCTACACGTGCCAGACCATTCGCAATCCATGCAAAGTATCAGCGGACTATTAGACGCATGAAAACAACGCGTATTCATTGGTAGTCGGTAGTTTTACAACTGCATTGATTTCCCTCATTTCCAGACTGCTCAAGCACTGGCCTCTTAGTGTGTCCCGGAGCGAAGCGCGTTCCGTGACGAGTTGGAGCGAAACTTGGCGCCATGGGGCACAGGTTGAAATAAACTAGCACATCTTATTCACATCTATTAACTATTGGATGTTATTGGCACATTCGGACCGTCTCTTTAACCCAGCGTGTCTCTTCCAAGGGGAAAAGTAGTCCCAGCTTTCAAAGAGAATAACTATCTGTCTATCTATCTATCTATTTATCTATCTTATTTTATCTTATCTTATCTTATCTATCTATATCTATATCTATATCTATATCTATATCTATACACATCTCTTGGATGCAGTTGGGATGCATTGGTGATTGGAATCAGGTGGCTACCATGACTTGCATGGAAGAATTCGGAAGAATGAGCCAAATCGGATTGAGCTTTCGAGAATTACTCAGCCCTGCCAGGTGTGGAACCCCAACACAGTCTGGAGATTCTGGAGATGTAAAGTAACCTAATGGGGCTTCACTTCTACAGTCACCGGGGTTTGCACCCACCTCACGTGCAAACACGGCTAAAGCATGCTAAAGCAATCTTACTATTGAATTTGATTATCTATGTTTGTGCAGTAAGTGCTGACAAGGTGGTTTGATTCAGGCTTTGTGGCGACTGTGTTTCTTGTCGAAAGTACGGCGCGACTTTTCCAAATGCTATGAGATGTGGAGCAGAATGGTATTCAGCATACAGGATCAATGGGAAGATTCAGATGCGTCAAAGACAGTTGCATGCAGTTTTTGTCTGGAATATGTTGGGGATCTGATGGACTGGCTTTTGAATATGTGCTATTTGTTGAAAGTTCTCTCAGAGGGCTTACAGGATGGTCGAGGAAGCTTGGGAATGGGATGGAATGAGGTAGGGATAAATTCGGATAAACGGCTTGTTCAACAGAATGCAATTTAAATCCAACTTATGTGTAACATGTTCATTTGCTGTTTGGCATCCGCACATAAGTTCCCGACTTCCGGTGACCGCATCTTACAAGGTAACCCTCAGCCCAGCCTCCGTGGGGTTTAAGGAGATGATGACTCCACTCGCAGCTGGTGCAGTGTCAGGCATTTGGAGTTTGTGAGAGTTGGTGATGGTCAAGACTTCAAGACTAGACGACTAAAAACCATTTAAGGGGAGTCCCTTGTTTGTCGGATGAGGAGACGGGATGCCAATGGTTTCCTGTCTCCCTTGCATTACATTGCTGAATTCTGTGTATGCTCCCACAAACAACTCAGTGCATATTTTGACACAAGTATGATGTGCAGACTGCACTTCCAGCTGGCATCAACCGTCAACTGGAAGGATTATTCTACTTTTTTGGCAATTTGTGCCTCGTCTTTGTGCTTTGATCATTTATGTTGGCCGTGATAGTAGATTGCAACACTCAGCAAGGCTGGTTTTAGTCTACCGTGAACATGCAATAACTCAGTAAAAACCAACGTCTACAGCTTGCAGCAATCCCTCAGTTTGGGATGGAGCAGACATTCGTGTACACAGAAAGTTTCGACTGGAGTGTTAGAGACGTCATGCAACATTTGCAAAGGCAAGACGATATTAGAAACAAGAAGCTAGTAGGAACAAGTGCATCGCTACTAGTAACAAGTGCCTTACTAGTAGTA